AAGTATTATCGTTCATTACCAACCTTTGTTTGATTATTCTATTCAGTAACCTTCCCTATATTACAACACTTAGGCGTGCCTTATACAACAGACAAAATGTATGTTGATACCGTTTCAAATGGACATGGATCCACTTGTTAAGTCGCAAACGTCAAGGAATAAACCGCTAAGATTACCTATTGTTGAAATAGAAAGGAGTTTCATTAAAATTATTCTTCTTACAGCAAAGCTAGAAAACCTAAATTTCGTCAGCGTCTGTATGCATATTAAAACTAGTATACGTGTGGGCGTACCATTATCTTTAGAATAACTCTCCGAACTCTCCCATCTGAAAAGTCTTGATCTCTATTTTCTGCCAATATTTGAAATGTGGCGCCTTCGGTCAAAAGTAACTTTATAAAGCAAATCTATCAGTTCGTTCTTTGTTCTCGAAGAATTTGACTTAGAATAAAATATCCGTTCCAAAGTTACTATTCACGTCTTTGAGATTAGTGAGCACGTTATCATAGCTCTTGATAAACGATCATCAGTTCCTCATGAGGTATTCCTGAAATATCGATCCGTGCCATGTTTGGAAAGATCGAAAAACATTCTTCAGTGACAGTTATTTCAGACAGAAATAAACGCTTTTTGTTATTGTCTCTCTCTACTAAAATAGCAAAAAATCCAGTCATTGTTGATATCCTTTATAACTCAGCTTCTGTTTATATAGGCTTAACAGCTCTGTTAAAACATTCCTTCTTTTGTTTGTTTCTTTTGTCTTGCAGGTTTCCATTTCGATCGTTTCCTTACCTCCTGCGTAATTCTTGTCATCTTTTATTTTACATTTTTCCGTTCTCTTTGTTGTTACAATTATTATTTCCTCCGATTTAACATTTTCCACCGAATCATACGGACTTAAAACGTTTCCTGTTTTTTTTTTTCTCTTTCATTTTTCTCCGAGTTTTTATTGGGTTGGTGCAAAAATAATGACGTAAGAATGTCGTTGTTTGACGTTAAAAACTACGTCAAAAAACGACATTATTACGTCATTATTTTTGCACCAACCTAATAACTTTCTCGTGAGGGCGGGCTGAAATGTTCATAGGCTGACTATGCAGTAATGACCCAGGAGCTGTGATGTTTTGCATGCGTTAATTTCAAAACGTCACATTAATAACCGCCTTGTTTATAAACAGATAAACATATATCTGACCACTCAAAGTAGACTTCAAATGTAGCTAGTAGCGACTCCTCGAATGGACACAAATTGGGGGTTGTATCAAGTACCTGCAGAAAGAAAGTGTTTAACACCAACGACATTCATGACATGATGGCCACATTAAGAAGTGACACTCCAGGTTTATCTTCTTTTATGTGCCGTGTCTCTTAAGCACGTAGGTGATCATGACCCTCCGTAACGTCTTGTCAGTCGTAGGTCTTAATAACTTTAACCATCCATTTATTCAAGCACATAAAGTATGTTATGCGCCGTTTTCCTCTGTCCTTTCCCTCAGTCTGTCCTGTGAGTATCAAGGTTTCCAGGTCCCCATCCCTCTTCCTGATGTTTTTTTTCTTTTTAAGTTTCCTTTTTCTTTCTATTTTCTCCAAAACCTCGATGTTGCTCACATGTTCGGCCCATGGCATACTCAGTATCATTCTGTAGAACCACTTTCTCGTTGCTTCAAGTTTCCTCTTTATCTTTGAGGATATTTGTCCAGCATACGCTGCTATACTGCAGGACAGGGGCACCTCGACGTGGTGTAATGGTTAGAAAGCTTGTCTTGCTAGATCAATTACGACTGAGTAGTGAGTTCGATCCTCACTGGGTGCCCCATACTTTCGGCCTTGTGCTACATCTAAGCCAGGCTTAGAAAATCACTATATTTGGGCATCTCGATGTGGTGTAATGGTTAGAAACCTTGTCTTGCTAGATCAATTACGACTGAGTAGTGAGTTCGATCCTCACTGGGTACCCCATACTTTCGGCCATGTGCCACATCTGAGCCGGCCTTAGAAAATCACTATACTGCAGGACAGATATCATGTAACAGTTCACTATTCCTTTCTTTGGTTCTAACGAAATCTTTCTGTCTTAGCTTAGCTCTTGGAATGAATCTCTGCCCATCCTAATATGTCTACGGATCTCAACGTGGCACATTCCATTAAAAATACGCAGCTGAATTTAGAAAGGAAAAGAAGTGTCGGAAAGATGAACCAAAGTCTGCGTACGCTGCAACTGGGACCACCAAGGAAAACATTGTGTTCACCAGATGGTCATGGATGACAGGCGATTGAATAAAAATCAAATTTATCTGACTGGTGATAAAGCTGTCAGCATGAATATCATTAGAGATTAAACCCTTTTTTTTCTAAGTACTTGATAACACAATGATGTCAGATTATGTCAAAAAGAAGTCGATATTAGTTACTTTTGAAGATACAAGTTTACTTAGAAAGAAACAATTCAGTTATTAATAAGCGTTAACATTAATGCCTGCAAGATTTCACAGCTCTAGCATTACTCCTTCATAGTCAACCTATGAACTTTTCACCCCACCTTCTTATATTCGTAATTTTAATTTTTTAATTTGTCTTTCATTATTTCTTTATTTTTATTTTTTTCTTTCTCCGCCATTTTTATTTCTTCTCGTTTGACAAGTGTTTAAAATATTTATTTGATATTTTTTATTTGCGACTTGTTCTCTTCATTCTGTTTGTATTTTTTTTTTATTCTTATTCTCTTTTTTGTTTTACTTATGCAACTATCTGATCTTGAAATATGTATATTTTGTAATTGTCTTCCTTTCTTAAATTCATATGTCAGTTTTTCCTCTTCGTTTTTGTTCGGATTCTGTTTTCACACATCGTTTTTTTTTTTTTTTCACGCCGTTACCTTAAAGATCTCTAGCTTTCTTTCCTTTTTCACATGCTGTTTTCGTTCTTCGTTGCTTTCATCATTTTATTTTACTTTTTCAATAAAAATCTCCCATCAAAGACTATGATCTTTACTGTTCCTTCAGCTAGTTTCTGTTTAAAAAAAATAAATAAAATAAAATAAAATGCAAAAAGTTAGAATTTGGCTCCAGAAATAAATATTGACGCATGGATAATTGTAGTGATCTTCCAAACGTAGCTTAGATGTGGCACAAGGCCGAAAGTATGGGGCAACCAGTGAGGATCGAACTCACTACTCAGTCATAATTGTTCTAGAGAGAAAAGCTTGCTAACCATTACATCGCCTCGAGGTGCCCAGTGATTTTACAAACGTAGCTCAGGTGTGGAACAAGGCCGAAAGTATGGGGCAACCAGTGAGGATCGAACTCACTACTCAGTCGTAACTGTTCTAGCGAGACAAGCTTTCTAACCATTACACTGCCTCGAAGAGCCTAGTTGTATGTTGCATGCTCAAGTGTAAAGAAATCCTAAGAATTTATTCGTCGATGTTAAAAGAAGAAAAAAAAAAAAAATTTTCTAAGAAAATATTTAACATAATATCCTTTAAAATTAAATTAAAAAAAAATTATTAAACTGTAAATTAGGGTTTTTGTCAAAGTATTTTTCCAGATAAGTATAATCCAAATTTCATCGATTGGTTTGCGAAATTGAACGAAACGTTGTGTTTGTAAATCTCCGTAAAAATGTTAGCGATAACTTCAACAAAACAGAATATATTGTGAAGATCTCAACACACGTCAGCGTGTTCCAAAACAAAACAAAAAAAAAATCTCGTAAAAGATAATGTAGAAAATCAAAAAGATCAAAAAAAAAAAAAAAAACTAATAAAAACAAAAACAAAAAACACCTGGAATATTACAAGAAACAATTCTCTTGAGCAGAACTAGAAAACGCTATTCAAAGTTCGCATAAGACGTAGCCAAATTTTTTTTCACAGTGAGTGCCATTTTGATTTATCTGTGCAGATTAATATTTTCTCAGAGATCAACATCTTCCTATTTCATTCTTATAAAAGTCTTCTTTCTGACTGTTTTTATACAATATCATTATGACCTTAAACTTGCCTTGGCCTTTTATTTTTTATGCATTATTCGAAAGCTCAGTTCTTTTCCGTTTGTTCCCTGAGTTCCGTTTATTTTCCTCTTCCTCAACTCAAATGGTTACTCCCACAAAATATGATCAAATTACGAATACAGCTGAACTTAGCACCCCTGATCAACTGGTCACAAACTGAGTGACAATATCTCAAATTATCTGCATTCGACCTCGTCGTTACCGATAACGAACAATGGATACGGTGAGCTATCCTTTTTCTTCCTTTGCTCCTTTCTGGTCTTCCTTACAAGGATATATTTACTGTCATTAGGACGGTTAAATGTAGTCAGTTATTTGGTATTTTCAATGTCTACCAAGAATCGAAACCATCCTCATCAAAGTCGTGGGAACTGAAAAGAACATAACATTATGATCTTGCTGTACAACAGTTTGCGAAGGATAATTCTATTTTCTTTTCCATTTTCTATCAGCTGACTGCTTTCATTCGAAGATCGTGTTGTGCGTGACGTGAGGGTCGTGATAGAAAAGCTTATTCGGTCTTCGAGTACTGACTTTGGAACAAGTCGTCCAATGAATTCGACTTATAATCTCGTAACCAATAAATTCTAACTATATTAGATCCATTATATCAATGTGAGCTGTTGATTCAAGTACTGTTATGTATAGAATATGGAAACATTTTTTAATTCTTTCTTTCTACGCCATTTCTCTTTCACTTGTTCTTTTGTTCAAATACTTCTCTCTCTCTCTCTCTCTCTGTTACATTATTCATTAACTCATATCTCTTTCTTTCTACTAGAGACATTCACATGTTTTTCATTACCACCATTTTCTTTTTGTCATCCATTTTGCGTGTATGGGAGAGAGAAAGAGAGAGAGAGATTTCTACTTCATATTTTATCGATGTCTTTTTTTCTTATCCCTTCTTTCACAATTTCTTTTGTACATGATCTCTTTCTTTTTCTTCTTCATTTTCTTCTGTTTTTGAAACAGTGATCCTTTGTTCAATGTTTCCTTCCTTTTACATGATTTCATGTTCCTCGTTTTTCTTCCATTGTTTCGCCATCGCCCTCTCCATTCCTTCCTTTCTTTCGCCAACTCCTACCTTTTTCTTTGTTTTTGGAAAAATCCCTCATGATTTTCCCAAACGTCACTATACCTTATTTCTTTCTCTAACTTGCGCTCTATCTCTCTCTCTCGTTATTTCCTCCTATCTCTTATCTCTCGTTATTTCCTTCCTAACATTTTCTTCACTCCTTGCTCCCCGTCGTTATTTTCCCTTGCCTAACTTATTTCTTGTTATTTCATTTCCATTCTTGCTCCATGATATTTCATTCACTTCCTTGCTCCCCGTCGTTATCTCATTCCCTTGCCTGCTCCCCGTCGTTATCTCATTCACTTCCCTGCTCCCCGTCGTTATCTCATTCCCTTGCCTGCTCCCCGTCGTTATCTCATTCCCTTCCCTGCTCCCCGTCGTTATCTCATTCCCTTCCCTGCTCCCCGTCGTTATCTCATTCACTTCCCTGCTCCCCGTCGTTATCTCATTCCCTTTCCCTGCTCCCCGTCGTTATCTCATTCCCTTTCCTGCTTCGTTATCTCATTCCTTCCCTGCCCCCGTCGTTATCTCCCCTGTCGTTATCTCATTCCCTTTGCTCCCCTGTCGTTATCTCCCTTCCCTGCTCCCCGTCGTTATCTCATTCCCTGCTCCCCGTCGTTATCTGCTCCCCGTCGTTATCTCATTCCTTCCCTGCTCCCCGTCGTTATCCCCCTTTCCCTGTCCCCGTCGTTATCTCATTCCCTTCCCTGCTCCCCGTCGTTATCTTTCCCTTCCCTGCTCCCCGTCGTTATCTCATTCGTTATCTCATTCCCTTGCCTTCCGTTATCTCATTCCTTGCCTGCTCCCCGTCGTTATCTCATTCACTTCCCTGCTCCCCGTCGTTATCTCATTCACTTCCCTGCTCCCCGTCGTTATCTCATTCACTTCCCTGCTCCCCGTCGTTATCTCCCCTTCCTGTCCCCGTTTATCTCATTCACTTCCCTGCTCCCCGTCGTTATCTCATTCCCTCCCTGCTCCCCGTCGTTATCTCATTCCTTCCCTTCCCCGTCGTTATCTCATTCCTTCCCTGCTCCCCGTCGTCGTTATCTCCCCGTCGTTATCTCATTCACTTCCCTGCCCCGTCGTTATCTCATTCCTTCCATGCTCCCCGTCGTTATCTCATTCACTTCCCTGTCGTTATCGTTATCTCATTCCCTTTCTTGCTCCCCGTCGTTATCTCATTCCCTTCCCTGCTCCCCGTCGTTATCTCCCCTTGCCTGTCCCCGTTTATCTCATTCCCTTGCCTGCTCCCCGTCGTTATCTCATTCCCTTCCCTGCTCCCCGTCGTTATCTCATTCCCTTCCCTGCTCCCCGTCGTTATCTCATTCCCTTCCCTGCTCCCCGTCGTTATCTCATTCCCTTCCCTGCTTCGTTATCTCATTCACTTCCTGCTCCCGTCGTTATCTCATTCACTTCCCTGCTCCCCGTCGTTATCTCATTCCCTTCCCTGCTCCCCGTCGTTATCTCATTCCCTTTCTTGCCCCCACCCCCCGCCGTTATTTCTTTCTCTAACTTCATCTCTCTTTTTCTGTAGCGTTTTCGTTATATTGTCCAAACTTAACATGTTTTGTTACGTTTTTCTTTATATTGTCCAAACTTTATATAGATACTGTTAAAATTGATAAGTATCGTTATTTCCCCAGATTTCTCATATTTCTTTCCAAATAATTTGATTTGAATGGAAACAGAACGAGAACACCGAAAGCTTACTTAGTGAAATAATGTTTGAAAAAAAAAAACCTCTTCTGAAGAAACCTGTGACATAGCTATGATATAATCGAACATTTCTTTTTCTAACCAGTCAAGATAGCTATCACTTATCATGAAAGAAAAACGGCAAGTAAACAAAATGCCAATATCGAAGAACTCATCGACAGTCTCTTTGAAATACAATCAGCTGGAGAGATTTTTTTCTTTCCTGCTTTAATAATATGTCTACTAATTTTCTAGTAAACAGGAAATGACAGATGAATAATGGTGTTGAAAGCATTTACAAAATTAATAAATACATACTGTTGAAAAGTAACTTCCGGTAGATGTCCCGACAGATAAATCATCACCATGATATAAAAATGGAAATTGCATTCCAGAGCTTGCTTTTATTCCGGAAAAATTTAAGTATAACGATCTGTAAAGTTCAAATTTTCATGTATTTTTAACTGACGGTAGTAAACAATAGAATTGAAAAAACAAAACGAAAACATAGTTCATGGGAAAGTAGTGATGTATAGTTCTTTTAAAATTTATAGGGCACTTCTATACTAATTTGAACAATGCTTCAGCAATTCGGACAAATTTAAGCCACTTTTTGATCGACGATAAACACCAAAAACAGGATAAAAGAAAAACTGCCAGGAAACAATATGTCGGAATACATCATCTAATAAACTATGTTGAATCTAAGATTAGCTTAGTTTATCGTGAAGCCCAAATTATGACAGAGCCAGTGACAATCGAACTCACTAATCAATAAAAATAATTATCCTTTCAGTCATTTTTTTTTGGCTGAATTTACGACTTTTGTTGTTTTTACATTTGCGCAATTTCAAGATTTCTTTCTTTTTCCCTCCCCTAAATTTCTGCTTTTCGTTTTCTATCTCTCTTCCCCTCAGTTTCTGCTTTAAAGTTTCTTAGCTTTCCTCCCCCTAAATTCCTGCCTTTCTTTTCTTTCCCTCAGTTTCTACCTTTCGTTTTCTATCTTTCCTCCCCTCAATTTCTGGCCTTCGTTTCTTTCTATCTTGCCCTTAATTTCTGGGCGCCGCCTTTTTATTTCCATCACTTTCCGGATTTCGTGTCTTTCTTGAACATCACATTCTGGCATTTATATATTTTTTTTTCTTTCATTCCGTCACTTTCCATCTTTCCTTCATCCTTTTCGTCACTTTCCATTTTTTATTTCAATCTTTCTGGCAGTTCTTTAAAAATAAAACTCTCTACGTATTTATCAAAGCAGAGATGACCAACTTAAAACAACTTTTAACCGAGAAACGTTTGTTTTTTGCAAGACCATTTATCGGAATATATATTTAAATTGATGAAATATAAACTTCTGTGGATTATCTAATACTGAAACTAGATTCTTATTCAGGAAGATTTCAGAACATTCCAAATAGTTCTGAGTTTATAAAATTGTTTTCAAAAATATTACAAGTTATATAGTTCAGGAGTATTTTAAATCATAAGTTGCACGGTTCAACATGCATCCATTTTTTATAAAAGTCGGAAATATTTTATTTTCTTCAGATGTCCTGTTATTTTTATTTTCTTCAGATGTCCTGTTATTTTTATTTTCTTCAGATGTCCTGTTATTTTTATTTTCTTCAGATGTCCTGTTATTTTTATTTTCTTCAGATGTCCTGTTATTTTTATTTTCTTCAGATGTCCTGTTATTTTTATTTTCTTCAGATGTCCTGTTATTTTTATTTTCTTCAGATGTCCTGTTATTTTTATTTTCTTCAGATGTCCTGTTATTTTTATTTTCTTCAGATGTCCTGTTATTTTTATTTTCTTCAGATGTCCTGTTATTTTTATTTTCTTCAGATGTCCTGTTATTTGGCAGTAGATTCTGGAGAATATGTTAAGATTTTCAGCTTGATTAATATTTGCTACGTATTTTTATACTTTTTATAATCTCTCAAGATATGTTTAACTGTGATAAATTTCAATGAGTTCCCTGAGGTATATTTTCAGCCTTGAGCCTGTATGTGTGTGTCAAGAGTGTGCATCCAATTCTTATTCTGTTGAGCACTATATGTCTTGTCTGCGATCAGCTAGTTGCTCTATATTCTCCCTTCTTATTGTCGGCTGATGTTCATGTAATTTATTGTTTGAGAATGTGTCCCAAATTGCTTTCTATTTTCTCCTGATGTGTTGTGTAATTTTGTTCTTATAATCTGTATATGGGAATTTGATGCTGGTTATTTTGATTTTCGTCACGTTATTTGTCCGAATGTCGGCTTCATTATTTCCTTCGGTGCCCATATTGCTAGGAATCCAAGCCACTATTATTGTTTTGAGCTTTCATTAAATGATGACAAGTTTCTAGAATTTCTTTAATATAGGGATGATTCGTGTTAGTTTCTTTAATTGTTGTTAAACTAGATAGGAAGTCTGAGAATATTATAAATTTCCTTTCTTTTGAATGTTCTATCATTTTAAATGCCATTTATATAGCTTGTAGATGAGTTGTATAAATGGATTCATTAACTGGTAACCTGTTTTTTGGGGGTTTTTTGTGTGAATTTGCCTGTATGTGGCTACTGCACCTATCTAAGATGTTTGATGCATCTATGTAGAATGGTTTATAGTCAAGATATTTGTCTCTTAATTCCCCGTATATGCATTTGTTGAGTGTATGTATTTTTTATGTCTCAATGTAAGGCCTATATGAGATTTGGAGATTGTCCGTAGATGTAGCTTATTGTGACTCGTGTCATATTATCAACATCTTTGTTTATTCGTTCTACTGCTTTTTTGATGCCAAGACCAAATTAAATTATGACTGTTGGTTTATTTCAATAGAACTGGATATATTGAGGTTCATACTTTTTTTTTGTGCGCTGGGTTATTTGAGTTAGTTTGCAGTTTTAGTGAATATTACAGAAAGAAGTTTTCTAATCTCAAAGATAAAGGTGGTTCATTAGCTTCTATATAGGTGAAATCTGGAAGACTTCGAGACTTAATCTCAGGCTTTGATTTGTGTATAGTGTTTTAGTTTTTCAAGATAGGACTTACGTGCAGCATTATAAATAATGCATCTATAGTCTAGTTTTGATCTGATATGTGACCTATATATTCTAAGCATTACTTTTTTTTTATTTTAGTTAGCACCCCAATCCTGTTTTGATATTACCTTTCGAAGCTTCAAAGCCTTTTGGCATTTTTGCTTAAGGTAGTCAATGTGTACTTTGAAGTTACGTTTGCTATCTAGTATGATTCCTAGTTATTTTATTTCTTGGATTATGGGAATTATGCGTCCAGTCAACTTTACTTCTGGCTCGTTTCTTTCAGAAATACATACTCATAGTTTTTGTCTTGGAGAAACCCATTCCGCTTTTATGTGTCCAGCTTTCTATTCTGTTTAAAAATGTTTGTAGATATCTTTCAATGGAAGGCATACTTTTTGTTGAGAGTATGATACTATGAAATTATCTACATATAGTCATTTTGCAATTCATGTGTTAATGGTTTCAATAAAACTATTTATTTATAGAATAAATAGTGTGACTGATAAAATGCTCCCTTGAGGTTCACCTGCCTTCTGTTCATGTGTGTCTGATATTGTGTTACCATTGTGTACTTTAAATGCTCGGTTTGACAGAAAGTTTTGGATGAATATAGTCATTCTTCCTTTTATTCTCATCTAGTGGAATGCATGTTTAGGACTTTGTCATATTAACAAATTACCCCGTTACAGAGTGTCATTTTGAAAGGTGAGACTAGGAAATTCCTTATAGTAAATGAGGGTAAATGTGGGAGAATGTTCATGACAGAGGAAACAATTTCTTGTCTCTTATTATTTTACTTTGTTTTTTTTTTTGGAAGGCATTTTGTTTTTTTCTAATGGACGTTCGGATTTCGCTGTCACATTTTTCCTCGTCTGTTTTAACACTTTCCCGATAGTTAAATTTCAATAATTACTTGATTTTGATGTTTTACAATCGTATCTGTCAAAATTCTATTCATAATTCCAATCACCTGAAGAAGGCCGGGCCGTAAAATAGCCGAAACCTCGTGAATATGGCAATAAAGATGAGGACAACAGTCCGAATAATGTAAATGCTTAAAATCCTAGTTTGCATCTTCGACATTTCCTCTTCTTAAAATTTATATTTAGTTCTTTCTTTTTGCTCTCCATTGTAATGGAGGAGAGACAAAGGTTTTAATTTCATTCAAGCTTTAACGACTGACGTCTACCATATGCAGAGACTATAGATTGTATAAAACGAATCATTCTATATCGTCGAATAGGCAGTACTGCAATTTCTCATCCGTACCAGACAACGTCGGAAATAATCAAGCCCTAGAGAAATTCCCAAGTTATAAAGTAAGCTTTTTCTTTCAAATAAACGTTCCGACTCCTTTATTAAAATTCCTAAAAATTCAATTGCTTAGTAAATAATGTCCGGTTCTACAAATCTGTTGTAAACTGGGGTAAAAAGTGGCTTGTTAATTTTAATGCCGGTAAAACGAAACTACTCTGTATTATTCATCTTAAAGAACTTTTTTTTTTGTTTGCCTTTCATCAGCATAGATGACGATTACAACAGGAGAGAAACTCACTGCACCTTCTCATGTTTTCCAATTGGCATTAAGTGGAATGATTATTTTGAATAAATCGCTATGTGTGCCGCTACGCATGGTCTAACCGAACAGAGTGAACCAACTATTTTTTTTCACGCTGATGTCAACCTTGGACATTTATAAAACCACTATTCTCGCATGAATCGAATATTTCTGCCACATATGATCTGTCCAGACGCTTCTTCTATATGTCTAAAGATGGTTGAGAAAATCCACATGAGAATCTGCAATGTTATCGGTCATGACTTGGCATCTCAGTTTCAGTCATTTCTCCATCACTGTAAAGTAACTTTCCTTTACATCTTCAATAACATTTTTACGGTAATTCTTCTGAGGATTTTTCCTCGTCGGTAGCTCACTCTTTTAAATGTAATACTATATTGGAAGTTAGGTCTCAATGTTGAAATATTTTCACTGTAATTGTTCTGATCTGTTTTCCGTGATAATAGCTCACACATTTAGATGTAGTACTATATTGGCAGCGAAGTTTCATAATTTCACAGTTGAAATTGCTATTTGCAACCGTAAGTTCTATGCTAATAGTTTCTTCCTTAACACTTTTAGCTTGTTGAACTCTCGTCCGACTGCCTGTTTTCCTGTAAGAAAACAGGAAACCCTAACTTGTCTATGTACCCTGTCCCTCACACAAACAGTCTATAAATTTAATTTGGTGGTGGTAATTTTTTTGTTTTGCTTTTAAATAAATTTCATTTTACTCTCTTCAGTTTTCGGCTAAAACAAATAAAAATAACTTGATTTTTCTTTCTATTTTGTTTCATTTCTGAGCTAAATATTCACAGGAGTCAAGATTGAAGATATTTTTCTTGATATTCTTAGATTAAAGAAATTGTTCGGACAATAAGTACGTTAATACTTTTGTCGGATGTTTGATGACGAAAGCAGCTTCGTTAGAATGCGAGATGGATAGTGAGCAACCCTGTACGACGTATCAAATGGTGGACAAACACATATTGAGTCAATGGCCAGACAAAAATAAAAGTCAGTATATCAAGAAAATCACTGTGGAGAGTTCAACGATATACCACTCCAATATCTTTCCCAAAAACGTTTCTATTTTTTTAAAATCAAATTCCCATCTTCTGCTTCAAACTTTCTTTCCTTTCAGCCAATCAAATAGCGTCTATAAACTATCTTTCACCAGCATGAAACTGACAAATCATTTTTAACATGGTCGTATAGACAGGGATTTAGACACAAACACCATAGCTGAATCGAGAGCTCTAGCAACGATGAACGAGCTGTGTGAGTATCAGTGGAAGCTGAGGAGTAAGCAAGGGAAGGATCCGTGGATCAAAAGTGAAGATAGTGACTGTCTCTAAACTGGAATACATCAAGATTAAAGTGTCCAATGAAACACATAACCAGCCATCTCTTCCATCATGTGGTAGTTGTGGAGGAAAAATAGGTGTCCTAGTGGAATTAGTTTCTCATAGGAAATGGAGGTGACTCGAATTTTATTTAGTGCAAAAATACATTCAAC